CCCGGGATCTTTGGTCAACATATATCACTAGTCGCTGTGCGACTGCCTGCGAGGGTTTAAGTATGAGCCCCAAGGGAAAACGGAACGAGCATGTTCCGTATCCTGATCGGTGAGCGCCCACTATCATAATTGATATTCCCGATCACAACCGACAGGACAACGGGCCCGTGGCTCGATGGTAGAGCGTTCAACTCCATGACCAAAGATCCCGGGTTCGAATCTGAAATGATCCACACTTGGGGTTGGGTATGACTGGCTGATGATGGCTAATAAGCCAAAAATGGCCATTCCGGTCTCCCTTGTCTTTGTCGGTATCACCTTCTCAACATATATATATATATATATATATATTAATAGAAGCGAAGATTCGAGTCCCCGGACATAAATGAGAAGAAGAGGCGATCTCGGGAACCATGATTGTATTGTCCTGACGTTTCAAAGCAGACAAGCTTTCATCGTCGGAGGTGAGTATCGTACGGCATCACACTGTATTTATAGGAAGGGGGATAGATATCAGTCATGCTAACACGGTGGTAATTATAGGGGGGAGGGGATGGTTAATCGGCTTTGGCGCTAATGGCCCGCATACGCACAGGCATCGTCTCTGTAGTCGCCGGGGCAGAGCGGGAGGGAGGGTGACTGCTGTCAATCTGCCTGTCTCTCGTCGGGGGGCGGCATTTGAACGTTGGTGGCCATCGCCCGCATTCGCGTTGACCTTAATTGTCGTGCTGGGTTGCTAGTCTTGATTGCATTCCTCTGATCGCGTTTCTCCCCGTCTGCCGGAGTAGTAGTTGAGACAACAGTATTGATGACTGCGCCTTCGTCGGGCCCGATTTGCGGTGTGGCTACGTGTAGGTCCGTCGTAGGCTCTCCCGTGTTTAGATCCACGTCCGGCCTGACCTCGTGCTTGCCCTTTAGTTCGTTGAGCTGCGTCCGGAGGGCTTGGTATGCTGTCGGGAGGGCGACGCAACGGTTTATTGAGGTTGTTTCCGTGTGCCAGGCCTCGATCGTTTCCCTGGCTACGCGGTCGTTGCCTCGACCCAGAATTTTGGCGTTCTGGAAGGCAAAAGTGTGTCCAGAGTCCGCGCAGTGTTCCGCCACCAGAGACAATGGGTCCATTCTCCTCACTGCCCGCATGTGTTCGTTAACGCGAGTTTGTAACCGTTTGCCTGTCTCTCCGACGTAGTTTGCTTGGCAGGAGTTACACTGGACCCGGAAGATGACGTTTGTCGTCTCACCTCGTGGCAGGGGGGCCTTCGGTCTCATAACCAAATGCCGAATGGTTGAGTCTGGTCGATGAGCGATCCCGATCCCCAAGGGCCTTAGGAAGCGGGAAACTGCCTCAGAGACGCCGTCGATGTATGGCAGTGCACGCCAGACTTTTGGCTGTTCTGTCACCCGATTTTGGCCTGGTTTAGACTGCCTGCTGCGCTCGATGAAGTTACGGGGATATCCGTTGGCCATGAAAAGGCGCTGAAGATAGCGGAGTTCTGTCCTTCTGTCATCCGGTTCGCTGCAGTGTGTTTCTGCTCTACTGTAGAGAGTTCGCACACAACTGCGTTTGTGACATAACGGGTGTTTACTGTGATAGTTTAGAATTTGGCGTGTGTTGGTAGCCTTCCTGTACACCGTCGTTTTTATGTGCCCGTTGGGCTTTCGATGGACAAGAACGTTCAGAAATGGCAGCTGGTTGTTGTTTTCCGCCGCCATCGTGAATTGGATGTCAGGTTAGACGGAATTCAGGACGATGTGAAATTCCTCGATCATTTCTCGCTTGATGATGACGAAGGTGTCGTCCACGTACCGAGTCTAAAACTTTGGCCTGTGAGTGGTGAAAACCAGGCTCTCTAGTTTTTGCAGAACTGCCTCAGCGATGAAGCCGGAGAGAGGCGATCCCATCGGCGTCCCCTTAATTTGTTCGTACATGGTCCCCTCGAAGGTGAAGTACGTCTTCAGGCAGAATTTTAATAGTTGGACTAAATGTCTGCGCTTCACTGACTTGTCCGTCTCGACATACTGCCTCTCGAGTAATTCGCTGACCGTTTCGATGGCCAGGTCCTGCGGGATTGAAGTGAAGAGAGAGGTGACATCAAATGACACCATGACCTCGTCTGCAGTGAGTCGCGTTCCTCTGAGCCGTTCCAGAAACTGAGTAGCTGAACAGACCGTTGTGGTTGCGCCTGAGGTGAGAGGCCTCAGGTGTCGGAACAGCCATTTTGTTAGCATGACTGATATCTATCCCCCTCCTATAAATACTGTGTGATGCCGTACGATACTCACCTCCGACGATGAAAGCTTGTCTGCTTTTGAAACGTCAGGACAATACAATCATGGTTCCCGAGATCGCCTCTTCTTCTCATTTATGTCCGGGGACTCGAATCTTCGCTTCTATTAGCAATATATATATATATATATCAGCGAGGAGGGACGACAGAGAATGCGGGTAGATTGATACAGCACTGTTTCGGGCTTATTCTGCCTTCATTCAGCCAATCATAACCCTGACCACCAGCAGCTGAGACCAGAAACACAAACATGCGCACAGACGCACCTGGCGCAGTCGGTCCACCACTGAGGCCTACCAGATGGGTCATAAGCACTTCATCGAACCGAAGTTCATCATTGCCTCGCCACCTGTCATTCTCTGTCGCTGCAGATCGGGTATTTATCAATCAGGAATGGGCGCACACCGATCTATTGGCTTCACAAAGCAAACAAGCTCCGTATGTGTGGCAAAGGTCACGAACAGGCAACCAATTATCAGGCCGAAGTCGGCCAAGTCATAATAGCGACAGAGAATGACAGGTGGCGAGGCACTGATGAACTTCGGTTCGATGAAGTGCTTATGACCCATCTGGTAGGCCTCAGTGGTGGACCGACTGCGCCAGGTGCGTCTGTGCGCATGTTTGTGTTTCTGGTCTCAGCTGCTGGTGGTCAGGGTTATGATTGGCTGAATGAAGGCAGAATAAGCCCGAAACAGTGCTGTATCAATCTACCCGCATTCTCTGTCGTCCCTCCTCGCTGCTATTATGACTTGGCCGACTTCGGCCTGGTAATTGGTTGCCTGTTCGTGACCTTTGCCACACATACGGAGCTTGTTTGCTTTGTGAAGCCAATAGATCGGTGTGCGCCCATTCCTGATATATATGGGTATGGCTGGCTGACGACGGCTAATAAGCCAGAAATGGCCATTCCAGTCTCCCTTGTCTTTGTCGGTAATACTATTCTGCCTATATATCATGCGCCGCTGTGCGGCTGCTGGTTGGGCTCGAGAGAGAGTCCATAAGGCACAACGGAACGAGTGAGTTCCGTATGAACGATCGGTGAGCGCCCCCTAACATTATATATATATATATAGGCAGAATAGTATTACCGAGAAAGACAAGGGAGACCGGAATGTCCATTTCTGGCTTACTAGCCGTCGTCAGCCAGCCATACCCAAGCCCGAAGTGTGGAACACCCGAGCCTCGAACTCGCGACCTGCTGGTTTAGAAGTCAACGCCTCTACTTACCGGGCCACGAGCCCGTTGCCTTGTCGGTTTTCGATCGGGAATATACAATGTTAGGGGGCGCTCACCGATCGTTCATACGGAACTCACTCGTTCCGTTGTGCCTTAAGGGCTCTCTCTCGAGCCCAACCAGCAGCCGCACAGCGGCGCATGATATATATAGACAGAATAGTATAACCGACAAAGACAAGGAAGACTGGAATGGCCATTTCTGGCTTATTAGCCGTCGTCAGCCAGCCAACAAGTCGCGAGTTCGAGGCTCGGGTGTTCCACACTTCGGGCTTGGGTATCGCTAGCTGACGACGGCTAATAAGCCAGCAATGGTCATTCCAGTCTCCCTTGTCTTTGTCGGTAATACTATTCTGCCTATATATATCATGCGCCGCTGTGCGGCTGCTGGTTGGGCTCGAGAGAGAGCCCTTAAGGCACAACAGAACGAGTAAGCTCCGTAAGAACGATCGGTGAGCGCCCTCTACCAATGTATATAATAATACAGGGGGACAATAAGCCATCGTATCACGGACCTCACTCGCCTGTCGAGCCCGGAGGTTGTCTCTCTCGAGCCCATTCAGCAGTTGCACATCGCAGTATTGGTCAGAAATGGTTATTCCAGTCTCCCTAGACTTGTCGACAATATTACTCTGCTAATATATATATATATATATATATATATATATTTATCGGCAGAATGGCATTACCGACAAAGACAAGGGAGACCGGAATGGCCATTTCTGGCTTATTAGCCGTCGTCAGCCAGCCATACCCAAGCCCGAAGTGTGGAACACCTAAGCCTCGAACTCGCGACCTGTTGGTTTAAAAGTCCACGCCTCTATCCACCGGGCCACGAGCCCGTTGCCCTGTCGGTTTTCGATCGGGAATATACAGTGGTAGGGGGCGCTCATCGATCGTTCATAAGAAACTCACTCGTTCCGTTGTGCCTTATGTGTTGCACACTTCGGGGTTAGGTATGACTGGCTGACGAAGGCTAATAAGCCAGAAATGGCCATTCAAATCTCTCACGTCTTTGTCTGCATATATATGAGTTCATGCATATGTGATATGCCTTCTCTGGGTATGTATTGATGTACCCCGGCATTTTGCTTTGAAAACGTACCATATGAGGCAAAGACTTGGATTTCACAAGGCGATTACTTAATCAGATATGATATTTCAAGTGGGTTAGGCCGTGAAATGCCACGAGATGGTTTAGGAGATGGGAAAGATAAGGATTTTTATTTCAGAAGGCAGACGAGAAAACTGAATCTGTAGTTATTTTTTATGAGAATGATCTGCTCCAAGAATTGAAGACTCCGGATTCCGAGCATCTGATTCCCACGTTTAAATTTTAATGTAACATCTTCTCACAGAAGAAAGGCAATCTCCCTTGGAATTTAAAAACACTGCATTTCTTCCTGCTCTATGTGAATTTAGTGTTAAGGTGCAGAAAATAGACTGCTTTTAGGTAGTCTTTTGTTCAACAAAATGAATGAGCATATGCTGCCTGGAAAACTGCTTGACCTTTCCTGTCTATGTTTTACTATGTATTATGTATTACTTCCAAGCAAAACCTTCTTAATTTGCTTGAAAATTTGAAAACTCCCTAAACATTAACAGTGATATAAATGATAACGAAGGTTCCAGATACTTAAAACATAAAAAAACAAAACGTTAATCATACCCTTCCAGTAAAGCGGAGCAGCTTCCTATAAACCTTCTTGCCTAAAGTTAATTCGACCAGCACTGTTACTTGTAAGTGCAAAGTGGTCCCCTTGCCAACCTCTTTAAAATAAGTCATGCATATTGTAGCGCTGACAGTATTACGTATTTACGAGAATTGGACCGGCAGGTTACAATTTTGGTAGATCTCCTCGGCACCGCAAAACAATCACCCTTCTAGAGCATATGTTACACAGTTATGACGGCAAATATATGACAATCTGATTATAAGTCCTGACATAGAATTATCTCAACCCTATTTTTTCCTTCAAACGTGTCACTGTTGCACGTTCTAAATGTTTTTGGAGCGCGTCAGCGGATCAACTGAATGATTGTGGGTATATTCATTAATATTACAACCAAGGGATTCACAGGACACCCAATACGCAAAGTTGACCTGATTTTAAGATGTGTAAACAGAGACCTTGAAAATCATTGGGCTGAACTGCTTCCCAGAGGCACTCCTGCCATCTGCCCTTCAAGAATAGTCTATGTCCCGGCATAAAGCTGTACACTTCAGAGCGCTTTCATGAGCTAAAGACATTTGATGGCTGTGATTCTTTCAGTACGATTTTCATGGTGAGGTTTAGCAAAAGCACTATTAGCATTTCAGAGATAGGAGCAGCGGGGGGGGGCGATTTGGACAACCATTCCTGACTCTTTTTAGTCCCTAGAGAATTAGTGCGCTGACTGGGAGTAAATCCATCAGAACAAAGTCGTTTAGGTTTGGTTCTAAAATTGGCATGAATGTTTGAGCTAAAATCCGCGTAAAATGCCTAAGCTGCCACCAGACAGTCGGTAGTGCCAGTTCGATCGTCGCATCCGACAATGTTCACCCTGCGCTCCGAAGCAGACACGGTGACTTACGTGTGATTTAGTTTGCAGTGAGTGTAGACTTGCGCGGCGTTTGCCACACTCCCTTCCCCTCCCCCGCCTGAGCCCCGTGTCAAGACCAAGTTAAGGAGACCTTGGCGCTCCACTCCATAGTCCATGCTGTGCACAAAAATTGACCAGGATTTTAACCAACAACAACAGTAATACCACAACAGGGGTCAGAAGAACAAGGATGACTGGGTGGCCATGATCACGACCTGTATACCGTACGGGAGCGCAAGCGCATCTACCGGCAAGGAACTAGGTGTCCGAGAAGCTGCCTGCTCATACCAGGCTGCGAAGTTCAGGGTTTGCTGATCCTGGCACTGCAGACGCTTACGGATCGTTTCGGCCCAGGAGGTAACA